GCTCACTGCCGTCAAATATAAACATTTCATTTATGTGTAGGGGCCATCCGAGGAGGCAATGCCACTAACTCCCTGTATCTCGGTGTCACCTAACTCAATACCTTTAGATAAGTTTGAAGTGCCTGAAAGCAATGCAGAGAACCTAGATCGTCCTAGTCCTGTATCTGTTCTTGATCCATTCTTTTCTGAAGATATCAACAGCCCTGAGCAAATAGAAACTAATCACGGTATGAAGCATCTTCATTTATTTGTTTGATTATTTTTTAGGATTAATGCAGATAGACCCCCTGCAGTTCTATTTGTTGCAGACAGACCCCTTGGGTGAAAGTTTTTTAACTCTTTTACCCTCAGAGAAAGAGAAAAGTGTTTTTTGACAAACAGACCTCCTGAGGATGAAACAGTGTATTAAAAAAAATCACTCAGTGTCTACAACCAATTCGAGGATAGCACAGGGGGTCTATACACAACAATAGAACTACAAGGGATCTATACGCAATCAGGCGATATTACATGGGGACGATCGCGCCTTTTTTTTAACATAAAAGTCATTTCAATAACAAAGTGCAAGTCTTTCACAGAATTGACAGCAGAACCTCGGAGGCTTTATTTTGAAGAAAATGTCAATTCTCAGCTAATTCTTACGTCAACAAAGCAAACAAAATTGATGTATGTAAGAACTGTGTTGGATGCGTCAGGTCTGAACTGCGATAAACTTCAAGAGAGATGGCAATTATCCGATCAATTACTGGACCCATTTGTATTTGATGAAGTAGAAATCTCATATGGGCAAGTGATCGATGATTCAAAGCTTCTCTTTGATTGCATCAACGAAGTTCTCGTTGAGATGAGAGACAGATATTTGAGTTGTAGCCCATGGATTTTCATCATAAAACCTAATATTAGACCTGCTCCAATAGGAGAAAAGTTTATACAAGAAGTATGTAATCTTGTCGACCGGCATCTTGAGAGAGTATCTCCCTACACATTGGACTGTGTAGTGAGGAAAGATTTGGAAGTTGAAACTTGGATGAATGTTGGGCTTGAATCTGAAGCTGCCGTTTTTGAAATTGAAGAAGTGATCCTAAACTATATAATGGAGGAAACTATACTTGAGCTATGGGATTGATCATGAAACTCATAGTTGAAATAAGGAGAAAATGCAGATAGAGGTCTCCCTTGAAGTAAATAGAAATGAGTTTTTTTCCCTCCCTTTCTTTCTTTTTTTCTCTTTTACTCTTTTTTCGGTTTTTGCTGTTTGTTGAATGAGATACTAAAGAGTGCAGCGGTGTGTTCTAATTCCTGGGGTTTGCTGATCATTGTGGAAGTAATATGAGGTTGAATTTACCTATAAACTGAAATAACATCATTGTGTAGATAATTTTTGTGGCTCCAAAGACTTATTCCTGTTATTGCGCCTGATGGTTAGTTTACAAAATAATCCCTGTACTGATTATAACTTTGAAGCCCTAGGATTCTGATCTTTTGCTATTAATATTTCCTCTTATGCATGCATATATGCTACTGAAATATTTGTATGTAAATAAAAGAAACCTGAGTATGTCATATAAGTGCATATTATTGACTTTAGGAATAAGCTTTATATATTTCTAATTTGAAAATCGGTACGTGTTCCTTTGCTATTCTCTAGCTGATAAACCAAATGCTGAACTTCACACATCCTCACTTGCCTCTCCAATCATCACTGGTAAATGCTAAAGAGAAATTATAACTCTGTATCAACTTAGCTCTCCAAAATTTTCGGATTTTGATATTCCCAGTTTTCCTTTAAGAATTGGATTCTTAAATTGACGTTTCTTCTTTTCTTTTGGAATCCCCTCATTTGAATCAGGCCTCAAGAGTCATGACGTTCATAATAATCTATGCGCATTGCTAGTAAATCAGTGTAAAAAGCTTAAAAAGCTGAGAAATCAGTGAAAAGAGAACAATTAACCAGTATAAACAATAGAATTTTTTTTTATTTGTTCCGGTAATACATGAAAAAGGCATGGTATAGAACGCATTTTTGTCAAAATAATCCTCAATTTTCTGCCAAATGTTTCTCGCACGAGTACAAGCCCTGAAACGTTCTAAATTGTCTTTTAAGACATCGTCACAGAAATATCGAATTTGGTGTAGATGGAATCCCATGTTGTTCCTGTCATGCGCCGTGTGGAAACGTGCTCGTGAACCAAACGAGTCGGCGAGCAATTAGAGAAGAACCAAACACGAGTGCAATTCACAAAATAACAGTCAAAGTCACACAAACACAGAGATTTACGTGGTTCGGCAAATTGCCTACTTTCACGGGGAGAAGATGAGGAGATTTCACTATATGGAGAAGAAATAATGGGTTACAATCTCTCAAACAACTCTTAAAATAACCCAACCAATAATCTCACACTCCCTCACAATAATCTCCCTCTCAAAGTGCTCAAAGGAACCAATTTTCTCTGATTATCTCTTCTCCTAAACCCTAGAAAGACGTGTTTCTATTTATAACAAAACACAATCCAAAACAGGCTGGGAATCAGAAAACGCGTCTGCCACACCCGGATGTGGCACGCACTACACCATTGACAACGAATTGTAATAGACAGCTTCTGCCATACCTGGGTGTGATACGTGTGAATGGTGGAGTCTGGTGGAGTCGCGTGCATCGGGGCCACGTTTGTTCAGCGGAAGCAAAGAAGTTCATGCGGCTTTCAAAGCGCGTGGGGGCCACAAGAACAAATAACGCAGCAACGCGTTATCATTTCCGCTTGAAAGAAGCAAGGCCCACCCAATTTCAATTATATATATAGCCTAGGGTTTTGTGCTGCTAAGGGTGGGCAGAGGACTGGTTTGTGAAAATTTTGCGACTGGCTGCGTGCAAGTACGAAAGTGCAAAGTTTTTTTGGCTGCGGAAGAAAATTTGTGTAGTCAGCTTTAGTTCTCTTTTTGGGTGACGTGCAGGAGCCGATTTGAGAGGGTTTGTGCATCTCTTTGAGAGAGTATTTGTGTGAGGGATCTGAGAGTTTGTGTGAGGGTTTAGATTGTGTGATTGTAAACCCTAGTTGTATTCTCCCCCTCTAATAGTAGATCTCCCCCTCATTGCCCCGTGGACATAGGCGATTTGCCGAACCACGTAAAAATTAGTTGTCTTGTTGTCTTGTGATTTGTAATAGCTTATAGGTTCCCTCGACAAGTCAGTTCTAGAACTGATAAGAGGAAGAGCTGATATCTTATTTTGTTGAGTTATTTTGTTTTCGGTTCTTGTTTCCTTTGTGAAACAGGAATTCCGTTGTGATCTAATCTCTTGTTGTGCACCTTGTGCACCGGAGGTGCTGACGAAATTTTCACTGCGCACAACAAGTGGTACCAGAACTCCGGGTTGGATTTGGGAGCTTGTTCGAAGGATTCGGTGAAGGATTCCTATCTGAAGAGTTAGATCGACAACATGGGAGAAGCAAACACATCAGGTTCGTCTCTTACGAAGGTGATACAGAGTCTGAGCATCAATAACACGAAGATTGATGTTCCAAAGTTCGACGACAAGATTAATTTCGGATTGTGGAGGTGTCAGGTGATGGACGCCTTGGATGCACAAAATTTGGAGGAGACTCTTGAGTTACAAGAGAAACCCGCTGATATAGAGGACAAGGTTTGGAAGAAGATGAATAGTAAGGCTTGTGGAGTTATTCGGTCATGCTTGACGCCGGATCTTATTTATGACGTAATGAACGAGACGTCGGCGAAGAGAATGTGAAAAATACTCAATGAGAAGTATCTTACGAAGAGCATTGAGAATCGGCTTCACTTGAAGAAGATGTTTTACCAATTCAAGATGAAGATGAGAGTTTCCATCAGGGAGCATGTCAACAATTTTACGAAGCTACTTTCAGATATGACCAATGTGGATATCATGGTTGAGGATGAAGGCAAGATGATGTTACTTTTGTGTTCGTTACCCGAGGATGATTATGGTACGTTCATTCTCACTATGATCAATGGAAGAACTACTGTTAGCTATAAGGATGTGACCTCAGCTTTGGTGAATTATGAGTTGAGAAAGATTGATGGTGAACCCTCTGAGAAGGCATCGGGAGATGCACTAGCAGTTCGAGGCCGTGATTCAAATCGCTGCCAGTTCAACCGCTCAAAACCGAGGAATAGAGGTGGCCATAAGAGTGTTGGTAGGAACCAGTGTTGTTTTTGTAAAGAAGAAGGATATTGGAAGAACGACTGCCCAAAGTTGAAAGATAAAGCTGGGAAGAATAAAGAGAAAGCTGTACAAGCTTCGGAAGTGAATGTTGTCAAGGCTAGTGACAAAATTTCAGATACAGATTCTTCAGGCTATTCTTGCTCTGCATTACCGTCAGTTTGTTACGCTGACTCTACGGAGTGGATTATGGATTCTAGTGCTACATATCATATTTTTCCTAGGAGGGATTGGTCTCCAGCTTTGAGGAATTGGAAAGAGGGGATGTCGTGCCCATGGGTAATGATCACGTATGTCCTATTGGTGGTGTTGGTACAGTACGGATCCGGATGTGTGACGGGGTGACTCGGGAGCTGAAGAAAGTAAGGCATGTTCCTCAATTGACGAAGAATATCATTTCGCTTGGAACTTTGGAGGCATCTGGCTATATGGTGATATTGAAGAATGCGACTCTGAAGGTCACAAAGGGGTCCATGGTGGTGATGTGAGGTGTTAGGGAAAACAATCTTTACTACTTGAAGGGCAAGACAGTAACAGGGGGTCTGACAGCTTCGATTACCACAGAGGAAGATACTACTAGCTTATGGCATATGAGATTAGGACACACTGGTGATAAGTCCATGTAGGTATTAGCGAAGCAAGGGCTATTGAAAGTTGCAAAGACCTGCAATATGGAGCTGTGTGAATATTGCATACTTGGAAAGAAGATAAAAGTGAAATTTGGCACCGCTATTCACAATACCCAAGGTATATTGGACTACATTCACATAGATGTTTGGGGCCTTTCCAAGCACACATCACTTGGTGAAGCCAACTATTTTGTCACTTTCATTGACGATTATTCTGGGAGAAATTGGGTATACCCTATGAAGCATAAACATGAGATCATGGATATTTTTGTGGAGTGGAAGAAGAAAGTAGAGCTGCAGACAGGTAGGAAGGTGAAGACTCTTCATTCGGACAATGGAGGAGAGTATAAGAGTGATCCATTTCTACAATTTTGTCGGGATCACGGTATTAGACGATACTTCACAGTACGTGAGACACCACAACTGAACGAGGTGGCTGAGAGATTGAACTGTACCTTGCTAGAGAAGGTGCGATGTATGATGACGCAGAGTGGATTGCCTAGATCCTTTTGGACCGAGGCGTTGGTTTATACGAGCCATCTCGTGAATAGGTTTTCGTGCACTGCAATACAGAGAAAGACTCTGTTGGAGCGATGGTCTGGTTCGGTAGCTAGTGACTATGAGTCGCTTCGGATATTTGAGTGTTCTGCTTATTACCATGTCAGTGATGGTAAATTGAATCCGAGAGCGAGGAAAGCAGTCTTTGTTGGATTTAGAGAAGGTGTTAAAGGCTTCAAATTATGGGATCCATAGGACAAAAAGATAATTATTAGTAGGGATGTCACATTTGATGAGGCGTACATGATGAGGCCTCAAGTCCCTCAGCAGGTGGAGGAAGACCAGACGGTTAGGATATCGCAGCAGGTAGAGGATGATGTGACTCCACCCACTCCAGATAGCATTGTATTCATTGAGGCTCCTACAGAGGTGACACTGTGAGGAGATGAGATGACGGGCGGACATTTAGAGGATACAATAGATGTTGGAACTCAAGAACAGGGTCATGTTCAGGAGTCCATTGCAGCTAATAGACCAAGAAGAAACATTCGTCGGCCAGCTATATATAATGATGTCATGGTAGCACATGCATTATCAGTGGAAGTCGTTGATGATATGGTTCCATTCACATTCAGGGAGGCAGAGTCTAACCCTGATTCGATCAGGTGGAGGGAAGCTATGGAGGAGGAGATGCGGTCTCTTCAGAAAAACGACACTTGGAAACTTGCAAAGCCACCTAAGGGTAAGAAGGCTATTGGATGCAAGTGGGTATATGCAAAGAAAGAGTGATCTTCAATTGGGGAAATTAGATTCAAAGCCAGATTGGTTGCCAAGGGATATGCACAGCTAGAGGGCATTGATTACAACGATGTATTTTTACCTGTTGTGAAGCATTCGTCGATTCGTATTTTATTAGCATTGGTGGCACAGCTTGATTTGGATTTGGTCCAGATGGATGTTAAGACAGCCTTTCTATATGGAGATTTAGAAGAGGAGATCTACATGACACAACCTATGGGGTTTAAAACTGCAGGAAAGAAAGAATTAGTGTGC